TAAATTTTATGTCAGCCAATTTATTCAAATGCTCCCTTCTTCAACTTGACCTTAATAGAAACTTTCAACAGTTGACCACAAATGATTTGAGGGCCTCCACCACATGCTCTCCCTATGGACCACCGAAGTCTAAATCCTGCGCTGGGTTGGACATTGGAAAATGAACTGGTAGAGCAGCTGGTTCGGTTGTTATGAATTTATGCATGTTAGGGCTGTGGGATATGAAAATAGAGTCAAATATCTCTCAAAAGAATAGAAGCATTTCCCAACTATACCATATTTAAATTCAGTTAATGTCAACCATACGCTTATTGGATTATAGAACCTTTGATATATGCTATTATATGCTTTGGTAATCACTTTGTTCTCTTGTGCTTTATTGAAGTACCTACTTATGCTTAACAGTATCACCACGCTTAGTTATTCTTCCATGAATCAAATATTAATATAAGAGAATATATTGAAAACAAATTTTACACACCAGAATGAAACTACTGAAGTCTCTACGCACGTTTCGCTCACCAAGATAGCACCATCAGAAAATGAGTGTGAAGTTGATGCTCTGTGTTTCATCGAAACTCAAAATTAAACTGTTACTTTCAATTCAGATCATCAGCCTAACCAGGTGCAAATGAATTTTTAGTTGTTCAGACAAAATGAACAAATTATTAACGTAGGCTATAAAAAGCACGGGACAATAAGTGAACCCTGCGGGGCTCCATGTTCTGTAACAACGAACTCTGGACGAGTGTCTTATCATTCAACCCTAATTTTTTATTCGAGAGGTACGATTTAAATAAATCTCATCGTCTCTCCGTAATGCATTATTATTCAATGTAATTATCCGCATTTAATCCTTTTCGCACACTCGCTGCATCATCGTTTATTACCAGATTACCACGGCTCTCATCAAACACGTTACAATAAATACATCTGCTCATAAAAGCTCCGGAATGTAAACAATTAGTACGGTATGATGTACGCGGATCGTTGTTGTTCCGGATGTAGATAGCAAACAGATATTATATTTGTGTTTCAACCGGTTTGCTGGGAAGTTCTGGAAACAGTGTATCGAACTCGAGTCCCAAGACAAAGGATTTTCACCTGTATGTATACAACGACCATCAAATAGTATACAGGAGCATCTACAGGGAGGTTCTTCTCTATTTCAGAAGAACATTATTCTTGACAATCGAAATTTGGTAGACGAAACCCAGTGAAAATATTTCAAAACTCGGATATTTTCAAAACAATTATTTATAACTATATTGATGGCAGTGGTTGTGTTTTCATGTAACGTTAATAGGTGGAAAATGCATAGGTTTGGTGATTTGTTCCGTTAAAAATGAAACTACTGCTGTGATACTTCGACAAACTCTCCTCATGTATTAGAGAAAAAATCAAGAAAACCTTTTTTCTATCATTATTTAACAAAATATTTCAATTATTCTATAATTATAGCACTCATTCCACTTGTTTACCGCCTGACTTGAACAGTTTGATCTCCTTTGTAACTTAGATAAGATTTTCTTTGTTTGCAGTACCTACCTATATGTTTGGTATTTTCCATCCGTTTATTTCCGTTCTTTGTTGTCCCAGACGAATCCGTTATAGGTACTTTCTTCGAGATGCAAAGATCCATGTCACATTAGTCTTAGTCGACCCATAAGAATATCTGTCTAAACTCGTGACAGAATCCTGTTTCTTCCGTTCAACTGTTACATATTTAGTATCTACAGTTAACCTCTGACGTATGTTTATGGTACAATTAGCTGGTGCACAGGTCATCGCGGAGGTAAAGAGAACCCCACTGGCCCGAGTATCCCCTAAAAACTGCTTTTTATTTGGAGACTCGGTGCCAATAAGGTCAAAGTTCGTTGTTGAACCACGTTTCAATGCTTCAGATCACCATCTTTTTATTAATTGCTGCTATCACGTCCGGGATCTAAGGTTATGACCCATAGAGTTACGTTATATTTGTGGCAAGTATCGGTTGCTAAATTTTTATTTTCGCTGGTATTGCAAGCTCTAAATTGGTTTTTCATTGACAGTCGGTAATCTGTATCTTCCTTTTGAATTCATTTAACTGTATCTTTCTTTTGAATTCATTTAACTGTATCTTCTTTTTGAATTCATTTAACTGTATCTTCTCTCGGACGTTGCCGAAATGTGTCTTCTTTTGGATGATGGCAACCTATGCCTCCTTTCGGACGTTGGAATCTGTCGTCTTTCCTCCAAGTGCATCTAGGACCATACTGGTTTTCCTCTTCAGTTGATAGATATCTTCTTTGGATATCGTAAAACTATCTCGTCTGCGATCTTTTGAGGCTTGGGGTTAGTCTTTTGATATCTGCCCAACGTTCCTACAATGTATTGTCTGTTCTTGTTGGTCTTCGTTTCTATTCCATTGTTTACTTCCCTTGTTTTCACCCTTTTCTATCGTCCCCTCTCTTGTTATCCTTCTCTCTTCTTATTTTTCCAACTTCCCTTCCTTTTCCATCATTCACGAACCTAAAAGAATATCAGAAACACATCGCTCTCCTTGGGAGGTAAGGTAAAGTTTTCCTGAAGGAGTCAATGTTTTGATTGATTTCTTCAAAATACTCTTATGAATAATTGTACATTTTCACACCATTATATAAAAAAGATGCTTCAGTTTGGTTAGAGGTGGATAAATGTAGTTATCAATTATTTTTATAGTTAGTTATATAGCGACTGCAGTAATAAGGAGTGTTCCAAAAGTTCAATATATGTTTTATCATAAGACAGTTTCCAAGATGGAAAGAACTACAACCGTCAATATTTTTCTTTGTATTCAAAAACCTGTTTGCATGAATCACATGGATTCTTCTCATGCATTTATTTAAAAGCTCTTTTGTAATCTGAGAGCTACCTAACTCCAAAAAGTTATTTCATTCTTCAAGAATGACTTTATTACAGCATGATATGCAGTCTTTGATATAGAATTACCTACTTTCTGGAAATGACTCTTATTGCATAGCATCCCAAAGACACTCTGCTTTTCAAACGTTACGTGGTTCTCATATTTTAATCCTTTATTGCCAATAAAATGTCCTAGAAACTTGACAAAATCTGTATTATCAATGATATCATTTTGCAAAAACAAATCAATAAGAATGCATTAAAATAAATCATATTCGTTTTAATGATACTGAATGCTAGGACTTGACTGGGAAATATGAATTAGAAAATTCAGACATTTATCGCATTTTCTATCTTTTGAACTCAAGTACAAAGTTACTCTGATGACTATCAACATTTTAAACCATCCTGTATGTATGTTTGAACTTCATATTTTCATTATGTTTTTTGTAATTACCTATGTAGTGGATGATATACGATGTCACATACAATTTGCTGCATGTTGCGTTGCCTGGTTGAAATGGAAAGTTATGTATATACATTTCGTTGATGTTAAATGCTGTCGACATGAGCCATGGATACCTAAATTTCTGTGGTCATTGTGGCAAAACAATTTATCAAAATATTCCAGTGGAAAATGCAGTGTCATAGTCAAACAAAAATAATCTGTAATATATGCATCAACCATAATGAAATATCTCTTTATTTTCAGCTGATATTTTTATTGAAATGTTGAAAAACCTTATGAAGTATATTGTATATTGTCGATTGTTGCTCAGTTGGTTAATAAGTTTAAGTTATGAGCTATGTTGGACGCAAGTTAGGTTCAATAAGGCTAGAACTTTATGAGTGTTTTGGTTGTGTGGCATAGTCTAAGCTAATATGTGGTGTGTGTTGCTCGTAATAAAATACTTGTGTTTATTGCTGATCGACTGTCTAAGCTAGGAATCGCACGTTGAAAGGCAACAGAAATACTCTTTTTCAAAGTAACTTATATAAACTTCTATGGAAGTATAGTAAATCGAAAGACCGTGCTCAAAAATTCAATATCCGTTGTTGTATTAACTAGGAAAGTAGTTTTTTTCGACTGACATTTCTCAGAACGTCGGGAAATGTAGAAGTTGCTTTTTTTCATTAGAATTATTTATTTTCTTGATCTATAAATTCTGTTACGTTGTTGATTGCATTAACTAAGTTGCACTCAAAAATTAATAACTTTATTCGGTGCCTCAAAAATGAAACTCATCACCACTAAGTATAAATTCTGATATTACTCGAAAAATTTTAATGTTTTATGTGGCTCATCACAAAAAAAACAATAGAAAGAAAGGTCATAATGATTCCTGCTTTCAAAGAATGTTATGTTGAGCAAGATGTCATTTTCGAAGGTTGGATAAAGGTCTTGCCAAATTATTAGTATTCAATGTTAGGTATAAACACAATTTCTAAATTCACCATTTCATTATCTTGAGTTTAAAGAAATAGAAATTTGAGGTATCTTCTAAAGGGGCTTATCAAAAAATGACTCATTTCAATCCCACTATTTGATAACTTAGTATTTTCATAAAATTTTCAAAGAATCTTTAATGAGCGGATAATTATCATTTACCAGGGTGAAATTGACTTGAAGGGGATTTACAAAAATACAAACAAAATATGTTTATATGATTTTCAAACTGAACTATTTTGATTAGAAAAATCATATATAAAAATAATTGTAATGTACCACAAACAAAATATTACCATTCGATAAGCACAAATGAACTACCATTGAAATTTTTTCTAACCATCTACTGAAAGGAGACAGCACAATGTTGTTTATTAGGGGTATTTTGAAAAGATATTCAGAATACCTTCAAAATGATGTACCACTTGGCTCATTATCATTTTATATTTTTAAGGGTAAACATCTTTCAACCTCAGGGTAGGGCGTTAAACTGCAAAGCAAATATAACTCATATGCCTCTCTTTTATTCATTCATCTGATGGTATCACGTACGAGTAATGTGTTGTTTTTGACTTGTGGAACTTTTCCAATCATTTCTTTACAATTGAAAAAATAAATATTCTTATTTGACTATAGATTTGAATGTTTATGACCAAATAAAACAATTATGAAATCAATTCTCAAATTTTTAATGACTCAATCTCAATATTATACAAACAAAAGTCAAAAGTATAGGTATAAAATAAACTTACAAAAAATTTGACAAAATTGTGTGAAAGTTTGCGTTTCTTTCATATACAGTTTTGCTGCGTGTTCAAGTCATAGACTAGATTAGTCTACCATGTTTTATTATTGATAAAAATTTGAAAAACCATACTGCTCAAGATAGAGCAGAAAGCACAATACTTCAGGTTCAAGATACCAATAAAAATGTGGCTTCCAGTAACACTTCAGTCAGCTGAACTATCATATTGACTCCTTAACTGACAAGAAATTTCAATTGGATTCTTTTATCAAATTGAATCTTATCAAGTCAACGTTTGATGAGCAATATTTTCCTTTTTTTAAAGGTTTCCATTTATTTTAACATCTTTGTTATCAGTTCACAACTCAAAACAGTCCAAAACGAGCACTGTTCCTAAACGGATACATAACATTCTTCTTGAAGCGCATTTGACTAACCAAGTTGGCATATTCTGCACTTTAAAAAAAAATCAATTAGACTTATTTATTTTTATCTGCTGGAGAGTAATATTTTCTTCTGTTGATTGTGATTTCATCATATTCTTTCTTAACAATATGCTTTTTTCGAAATTTACTGCACAATCTTTCATTGAAAAAAAAATAACTTGATTTTAATTACTGGCTACCATATTACGTGGAGAAGTATCAACTACTGAAAGCTGTATCTGAAAGTTGTATCTGAAAATAACTTCTTCACATGAGTTACAAACCTTCGTTAAGAGTTAATTTTGAATTCAATTGCTTTCACATGAGTAGATTTGTTTCGTCGGTACATAAAGTTGTAACGTTATGAATGAACTAACTGATGCATCTTTAATGTTATCTAGAAAGGTGCTTATAAGGTAATAAGTGTCTTACTATAAATTTTCAAGTCTGCCATTGAGATGATAGTGTTCCATGTGACTGAAATTTTACATTGTAGCTCTTTCACATTTCATACTGTTTCCATATTCCATAATGAATGTTTGGAGGACAGAGTGAATAGGAAAAAGTATACTGAATGTTCATGTGAAAATAGTTATTTCGGGATGGCTTTTTTTTCCAGTTTGTATCAGAAAGTTACTTCTATGTATGATCTACACATCATGGCACCTTTTTCTTTGTAATTTAGTTCTCTATTTATGTAGTGGTTCATTTACGAGTATAAATATCCATGGCATGTGATCGTGAAAAAAGGTATCATTTTACAAGTGACTGCATATCCAAAAGTAGACTGGAGCACCAAGTTGTTATTTAGATTCGTGATTTGCAGATAAAAATATGTAAGTCTTATTAAAAAAAATGTAATACCTTAAAACAAAAATTTACCGGTCAATTATCAAAATATGTGAACTTCTAGCAAACTGAAATGAAGTCAAACATGTCTGCACTTAGATATCACAGAACAGAAACCAGAATCACTATAAAATCTACATTCTCAAAGCTTCCTGCAATTTCTTCCTGGCAAGGGCCACCCTATCCTCTTGTCTCTTGATATCTTCCTCCGACACATTAACAGCATGTACCAATGGCTGCTTCGGGTCTAAAAACACTCCAGGGTTCTTCTCTAGTAATGTTTTCGTGCCAGTCTGACCTGTTACTGGCTGCGAAGAAACATGCAACGCTGTTGCTACACTCTGTATAATAGTATCCTCGTTAACGTTAGGGCCCACAGCTTTCAGGCCCTTGGGAAGTTCCATAGCATCGAACTCGAAGCCATCGATGTCACAAGCTCTCAATCCTTCGAGTCGTTTCTCCCACATAAGCTGTTTGGGTTTCTCTTGGTTTCCATTTTTGTAGTCACTCTTTACTTTACCTTCTTGGGTTTTATATACTGTCACTGGTTGTTTGAATATGCTGGCCGTTTGTCTGATTGGGGGCACTAATGAGCCATCATTTCTGACACCACGGTTGTAGTACAAGTCCACTTTTCCCACAGTTAAACCAGTTTTACGTAGGACATCTTCTCTTTGCCAGCGTTTAGGAAGCTGTGCACACTCGTATTTAGTTTTCTCTATAGTTATACTAGCCATTGTTTACAAGTATCTGTTTACTTTTTCACAGTGAAGTTTTTAACAGTGTCAACTGTCACGTCACAATTCATGTATCGAGTATCAACTAAAATAGACAGCAACGCCCACTGTTTGCCGGAGAACGAAAACAAGACTCGTGTGTCGATCGGTAATTTCGAACACTGCGCACTCGTATCGCTTTCCTAGTGGCCACTAGTCGGTCGATAAACTGAATGTGGTACAAACACAAGTGCGTTCTTTTAGCATTATACTTGTTGTACAACCGTTGACAGCACGTATAGTTGTGATCTGTGATTGACTACCTGAATACTCGGGATAGATCATAATTTGCATAGGATTCTTAATATTTCTATTATAATTAGAAATTAGGAGATATACTTACATTTAGAGAAGCAGGTTGTAAAGGTATTAAAGAAATATTTTCACTGACTCTGAATTGAATTGAACATGTACCTATTGTTCAACTTACTTAAAGTTTTCTGGGTTTTTCCCGCGAAATATAGGATTTGAAATAGATATTGGGTATTCTCTTCAACCAACATTTATGTATATCTAGTTTTTTGTACAGTAGTCTTGTTAGCGTTGTTGGAGAATAGTAATGAATATGTGTCTCTCCCATTTTACGAAAATAAAGTAGTTAGTAGGAAAAAACTTTTTCAACTAACTTCTTTAATGATTTAAAGGAAGAAAGTAATAAATTTTGAAATAAACTTTTTATAAAGATATGTAGAGCATTCTAAGAAGTTTTTTTAGAAAACTGTTCTCTCCTGAAAATATTCCGTTCTCCATTTTTTCAATTCAGAGAAAATATTTTATGAATATTTTCAAATTACCTATGCACTTGCACTCTTATGGTTTGGTGACATCTAACGGTTAAATCTTCAAAAGGTTCCAAGAGATACTTAGAAAGATTATCGATATCTATTTTCAACGATTTCTAAATTTGTTGATAGAGATAGATATGAGGATGAAACTGTTTCCAAAAAAATCTTACAAAAACAAGCACTGTAATGAAAGTTTCTTTGACTTAAACCACGTCAGTATTGATTCTACGTTGAGTAGGAAGCAATTAAAAAAACAGAATACATTGAATAATTCCAAGCTAAAATAATCTGTTTCATGTCATGAGTTCAAAATGTAATTATTTATCAATTTATTCATTCATTTTTTCAGTTTCACTTCAGTTATAAATAAAAGAATCAAATTGAATTATACTCATCAATTGAATTGAAAGTGGTATATTTTCAGAAAAAGAAGGTTTTGGCTTTCTACTTTTCCACATTCATACAAAAAAATGTGGAAATCCCCCAAAAAAGGTAATCGATTTCAAAACATTAACTGTATACATGGAAAAGTAGAAACCCAAAACCTTTGTTTCCCAAAAACTTTTCAATTATTTTGAAAATTTTTGATTTTTCACTCTAAAACTAATAACCCAACTCTTTTTTGTATTTCAACCAAATACAAACGATGAAACCGTTCTTTGTCCTTTCAGTTCGATGTGTCTGAATTCATGATAGCTTCGCTCAACGTACATGTAACAATTCAACAATTGTCGATATTATTGCTTCTAAGAACTCACACCTTGTACCATTACCAGCGCTACATTATTATTATGAATTATTGATCAGTCTAGCTGCTACAAATACCACATTCAAATTATGGTATGTAATATATCACTCTAACTTTCTACCCAAATACGGCGCTCATTATTCAAATAGACTTTAGTAGATCGTAAATAGAGTACCCAACGTTTACAGGGTATTACTGGCGTCTTACTTCGGTGTATTCGGAGAACTGAATATTTTTTGTCTAACAACGAAATGATTCATTGTTCCAAAATGAAACATAACCACTTTTATGTCGAGAAAAACATTTTTTATTCTACCACCTACTCTTAACAATTTGTTCATCTCCATGTATTTTTTTATAGAACAATAACGTTTGTAGTGGTTCGAAGAATGGGTGTTCCGCATGGAACTATATTGGGACCGCTTTCATTTACAATTTATATTAACATAATGAATGAAAAAAGAAATAACTCTCCTAATAGAAAACCATAAACATTTTTCCAAGAGATGATATTATCACCTTTTATCTCAATTTGTTTGAAAAATTTGATGTTTTCAAGTATCTTACATTTCAAACTATAAAAAATGAAAAAAAAAACACTGTATTCACCTTCGTAATTTAAACTTCTTCTCAAGAGCAATCAATAGCATTTGAATAATTACATGATGTGCATGTGCTAGTCGTTAGTGAATCCTATCTATATACTGATATAATTAATTTCAATTCATCTTATCTGTACTGACATTCACATCAATCTCAAATTTTACATTCTCATCACCTGTTTTTGTTTCTGAAAGAAAAACTACCTCAGCTCTCCTTGAAAAATATTTCTCCTCAATCGATAAACGTAATTTATTCTATTCGGGGTCTAGTTGTGCATCATTTCTACAGTTTCAATCACTGTCACTGTCCTAATCAAATTGATCCAACGGAATAAAATAGGTATTCAAATATAATTGTGAGTGAATATTAAAACTTTGCATGATTGCTTCTACAGAAATTTACAGGTGTAATTTTATATTATGATTATGACAGTGACTTGGCCCTAATTCTACTGAAATAACTCATGATTTTGCTGAATAAGAACATATTATGTTGAAAAATGGGGATTTAAAGATCGATAATAGTTTTTTGCCGAACTAGTATCCGTTTTGATTTGTGTATCTTACGGCCACTTTTACTTACTATAAAATAGTCTGGTAATGTTCTTTTTTTTTGGCAGAAGCTATTTCTTCTAACCGCACCTTTTTTAAAGCATAGTGCACGTGACATCCCAGAAAAGGCGGCTTGTACAGAGTCGCAATAGATGCAAATGTGCGTGGTGATCATACTTTGTTTGTTGAATGGGCAAAGTTTAGGAACAACTCATAGGAATGGAGAATAATGAATAACAATTTTCACCTGAGCCTACTTTCAAGATTTATCTTAATTACCAATTTCCTCATTGCAAACCAAATTGAACAAAGGGAAGGATTGAAATCTATTTGAGTTTTGAACCTTTCTCTTCCAAATGCAGTCCGTCATAATCATGATTCAACTCGTGCTCCTTTGTCAAAAGATGATTCGCAAATGTTGAATTGGTATTTCCATCCAAAAAACTACCTCAGCTATTCTCTTTTATTATATTGGAAAAAGTTCTTCCGCTTTGTCCGATATGAAATTTAGGACAACAACCACAAGTCAACTTGATACTTCCGGTCTATACGACAATGAAGTTTTATCATTATTATTTTCAATGAATTTACTCAAATTATTATTTTTTCTGTGGGCCTTCGTCCAATTCTTTGACTTTTATTTCATTATCCGATATTCCTGTATAATCATAATCGAATTAAATAGGAAGTCCGCTCTATCAATCGCCTACTACTATTTGTAGATAATTACCGAAATGTCAAGAGAGCAAGAGCTATAAAACTGTAAAAACTCTTTTTCAAACCGCCTCAAGTTCCATATGAGCATTTGAGAAAGGTTCGATGATCCCTTGAGAGACATTAAAAATTTCACGGGCATAAAAATGAAGGTAAATGATTAACAGCAGCAGAAATTGTATCCGGGACAAAATTGCCAAGGGCGTATCGTTGGCAATGGGCTGGGTGTACGACAAGAATTCATTTGTAATACTTTCTTTGATTTTGAACATGTTTTATTACATTATTTCGTACTGTATTATTTTTCATTTCATATAAAAAATTATAGTTGTTAACGTATTCCAAAAACACTTTATTGTGAGATTTTCACTAAATTGTTTTACAAAAACGCAACACGTGTTTCGCCATACAATGGCTTCATCTGGCGTGTCTTTTCCACTTTATTGTGAGATTTTCACTAAATTGTTTTACAAAAACGCAACACGTGTTTCGCCATACAATGGCTTCATCTGGCGTGTCTTTCGGAGTTGAAAGACACGGAATAAAAGTTACTTTCATATGAACATTGAATTACACGGAAGAAAAATTCTAAATTATACAAAAAAAACTTTTCTCTTCTCAGTTTGTATTCCAAACATTCGTTATGGAACTGAATCAGATATCATTCACAGGAATCCTTCACAATATACTAAATGTAAGGGAAAAATTTCACTTATATGGAACACTGCCATCCTCACTAGTAGACATCAATGTTTCGCCGTAAGACACTTGCTTTAGACTCTCCAATACCAATCTAATAACATTATAGAAAAACACACATTTCATTCATAAATTACGACTTCATGTCACAGAATGAAATTGATCTATTCATGTCATCCATAACATCGTTATGACATTCATCAGCTTATTCGATTGACTCCCAGCCGAAGGAATCTGTTTAAATTGAAAGGGTTATATTTTTAGGAGTGATATCCCTTCACTAAAATTTTTACTAATGTAATTTCTCAGAACAATAATCAACAAAATAAAAATAACACTCAAAATTAATAAAAAATATCATGTATAGGTCGCCGTATGCAAACCCAAGTCAAAGTCACTGACACTGCGGCTATTTACTCAATTTATTACAATTATAGAAACAAATATTTTCTTTTTGCCTAACCAAATGTCCATTTTCTCCCTTTGTCTCTACTCTCTCAGTGCCTAATCCTGACATGATTGATGAATTATGAAGAATGCACCAACATTGTATCCGTCACCTGTTAAAATAATAATAATAACATTTTTTCTCAAGTATAATTTAGTTATTAAAACTGGACTAATTCGTTTGAATATGAATTGAATCAATATAATGCATTACAATATTCATTGTATTGATGTTTCATAAACATAATTCAATGTGCATAATAAAAAAAAGGTTTATTCTAGCGGAACAAATGGAAGATATGAAACAAATAATAGACATAACTTTGAATCATGCATTGTTTTGCTAAAAAACACTATAAAAAATATGATTGTGAGTATAATAAATACTCCTTACCTCGTTTTTGGTAAATGAAATAAACAGAGATGCTATTTTTTCCACGACACAAACAGAATTTTTACTTACGTGTTCGTTTTAAAACTATCACACCAAATACTTTTATTAGAAAA